CTTCCACTTTTTAGTGAACTGGAAATTTGCATTTTTTCAAAAAATTTGCATTTGTCATTTTTTTCATGAAGCGAGCATTTACCGAAAAGCGACCGGACTTCATGCAAAAAACCGGTAATCTTGCACCCGGACTGAAAAGGTCATGTCGAGATGTTGAATTAAGGCTTATATGACTTAATAGACCGAAACGTCCTACCTCACGCTTACCTTCACCTTCTTTTCTCATACTGTTTTTTACATGCTGTAACATATTCGCCATTTAGGCTTCCAGGATAAATCTGGTTGCTACAGTCAGCTTATCAACACATTTCAGGTGTTTCTGCACATATCGATTCCGGAAAAACAACTGTAACTGAAAGGATTTTGTATTATGCTGGAAGAATCAAAGAAATGCATGAGGTTGTGTTTCGTACATCCACAACTACGTTGTTTCACATATTTACAAGTTATGAGGTCGGGAGAAGTCCGAAACCGAACAGAACAGAGACCTGAAAGCTGAAAAACGGTAGTGGAAGAGCAGCTGTGTTGGATCGTTCTGTACCGTAGTACCATTCGTTTCGTCGCCCCTATATATTTGGGCGCTATTATTCTGTAAAGTTTGGGGCTGCACAAAAAATCCGTGTAGTTCAGTCATCCTCCCGTTTAAGATCTTTCCCCATACGGACCTAGACCCCGCGTACGGGATCCCCAAAGAAATATGTCGGCGGGAAACGATTTCGCGAACCAGGCAACGTAGAAAGCTGAAATTTTGCAGGGATATTCTTTATGTGCGTGCGAGTTTCATCGTCACATTTCCTCTCGACTTCGTTGCATTTTGCTCTTTTTTTTGTAAGTCCACGATGTTCAGCAAGATCTGCCTGTTTCATTGATGGCATCCTTAGTGATTTGTCCTTCCAACATAGCCACTCATCAATCCAATTTCTTCGTTTTGTTTAAAAAAAAAATCGATTTTAAAAGATTATTGACAAACCAACATGTACAGATCAAATAATTATGCACAGATGGAATAAACACTTATGCGCACCAGTGGAAATATGTGAAAAGAAGATATTTTTATGCAAATTGCAATTTTTTTTCATAAAAGGAATTACTTTTGTGATTCCGACCTCCTCAAATAGCAGAACGTTTTTGTCTTGTGAAGATGTGAACTGCATGAAGTTTATTCCTTTTCATGAGTTTTTTGCAGCTACGCAATACAGAAAACGCATATTGACGAGAGGTTGTCTGTGTGTGTGTTTGTGTGTTCGTTTGTACCAATTTTTATACTTACCCAGCTTTACTTCTACAACATCAGTACATTTGCGAATATTTTTTCTACTTACCAAAGCTGCATCGATTGTTAGTGAGTTTACAGATATTTCTGGCACTTGTTTCCCTTTTTTAAAATTTTTTGGATTCCGAAATAGTGTGTCTCATTTTTCCTGTTTTTTTGTGCTTCATGAGCTCACTGTCGACTGATCATTTTATGATGATTCGTGATCTTCACTGATGGGATGAGGTGCTGCGCTAAGAGTTCATAATATGAGAATTTTCACTGATTTCAAATTCGTGAAGTTGAAGTTTACACAACTCGTAAATTTACGTAAATACGTATATTATGTATAATACGTAAGTATATAATATGTATATATGTAATATATATAATACGTAAATACATATATACTGGTAAATATACTAAATATAAATACGTATAGATACGTAAATACGCAAGAAAATTCGTTTTTTTTTAGGTGAAAGGAAAAGATGAAGTTGGCGCAACAATGGATTTTATGGATCTTGAAAGAGAGCGAGGAATTACCATTCAATCAGCAGCAACATACGTTGATTGGAATGGCGTGAATATCAATATCATTGATACTCCAGGTTCGTTCATTCACTGAAAAGCCTTAGAAATCCGTTAATGATGTTTAAGATAATCTCCAGGCACGATGATCATTCCCGCACACTGTTACAGGTCACGTTGATTTCACGGTGGAAGTGGAACGGGCACTGCGTGTACTTGATGGTGCAGTGCTGGTACTCTGTGGAGTTGGTGGTGTGCAAAGCCAAACGTTCACAGTGAACCGGCAACTTGCTCGTTACAATGTGCCTTTCATCACATTTATTAACAAACTGGATCGGACCGGTGCCGATCCGCTGAAGTATTTATTACACTTAAATTTCTAGCAATCGTCATTTTTTTATACAAAATCCTTCAGGGAATGTTCCCAGCCCATGTACGGCTTAAATTTATCAAACTCAGCCCCCGGATGTACATGGTTGTCACGTGCGGCCTCGTAAATATTTTTGGCAGGAAAATCGCTAATTCAAGAAAATTTAAAAAGCTGAAATTCCAACGAAACGAAATGTTCCCTGTCCAAATACCGCGTAGACAGCTTCCCAGACTTCGAGGACCAGTATATCACACATTTCTAGCTACTTGCATACCGAGCGATCTCATTATGGCATGAAATATTGAAAAAACGCATGATCGCACGGGCCAGCCCGGTGCGCGTCGCCAATGTTTTTTTTTGCACATTTATGCACATTCACATTGCAATTTGACGAAATTTTTGCAGAGCAATAAGCGATATGCGTACAAAACTCAGGCATAATACTGCTCTTCTGCAAATTCCGATTGGAAAGGAACGCGATTTTAAGGTTTATTTCTAAACGCTTCACAAACATCGTCAGCTGTTTTATGATGCAAAAATTCGAAGTAGCAAAAACTCATAGTTTCATTGAAAAATTTTTGCAGCATTTTTATCTAATTACTGACGGAGTTTTAGTAAAAATTGTTGACAGTACACCAAATTGGATTTGACATTAAAATAATTGGCCAGCGCACGGGCTGCCCGTGCGAAGATGCGTTTTTTGCATAGTTTCCCGCAGTTT